CTGCCAAACTTTGCTACTGATACTCAGGTGAGATGAGATCCCATAGTTGTTTTGATTTGCATCTCTCTGACATCTAGGTCTTTTGAACATTTCTTCATGTATTTGTTTGCCATCTGAATATTTTCTTTGGTGACAAATCTATTTATATCCTGTGTCCCTTTTGTGATTCGGTTTACCTTTTTCTTGTTGAAGTGTTGGAGTATTGTATCTGTTTTAAATATGAGTCCTTTGGGGAACTCTGGTGGCCTAGTAGCAAGGAACTGCAGCTACAATCCCAGAGGCGCATGGTTCAAATCCACCAGATGCTCTGCCGGGGAAGGAGGGACAATCTCCTCCTGTACCAGCCAGATCTGATTTGATGGTACACTCACACAAAAATAATAAAAAAAATATGAGTCCTTTATCACATATGCCATTATTAAATATTGTTTCCCAGTCTGTGGCTTTCCTTTTTATCCTGATGAAGAAGTTTTGTCTGTTTTTTTTTTTTTAATGTGCCTAGGGCTTTGATTTTTTAGAAGATCCCATTCATCTATTTTGTTCTTTCCTGGTTGTAAGTTGTTTTGTTTATCTTTTTGATGTTGAGGTGCTGAAGCTTTTTATAAATTTTAGAGATTAGTCTCTTATCCAAATTACCCCACTGTCTGCCAGTCTGTGGGTTCTCTCTTTTCACTCTTTTGGTCAAATCTTTGCATGCACATAAGTATTTCATTATGGGGAGGTACCAATCATCTAGTTTGTCTTCTGCTGTTTGAACATTTTCAATCATGCTTGACACTTACTTACCATTTTTTAATGATGCTTTTATTTTTATTTTTGCAAATAAATTTTGCTTTATTAAAGGAGAACTGTGAAGTTATTATTCTTTTATAAAATTTTAAAATTTTATTAATTTTAATGAATGTTTACAGTGATTTTGGATTTCCATGCATTCATTGTTGCATTTTTCTCCCTGCCCACTCCTCCCCCCCAGTTCGCTCTTCTATTTGAAAAGTAAAAGAAAAATTCTTTCATTGGTATACAATCTCTCCCACCCCAAGTACACTCCACTATGCAACCTTCATTCTGGACTCTTGTCATAACCCTAATACCTAATATGTCGCTTTTAAACAGTTCTCTCCCTCATCTGTTTCAACGCAGTGTACATAATTTATCTTATCTTTCACAGACTCTTCCCAACACTGATGTCAGTCCCACTCTACAAGTGGCACTATGCAGTACTTATCCTTTTGTGACTGAGATATTTCACTCAGCATAGTGTCCTCCAGGGTCACCCATTTTGAATAATATTTCATGAGTTCCTTGTTTTTCAATGCAGCGTAGTATTCCATTGTGTGAATATACCACAGCTT